GGATGGAGCCATGAAAGGGCTTCTATACAGAATTGATACTGATTGGGACTCTATTTTGTTAACTAGAATCCAAAAGAACTCCAATAGCCCCGAAAAAATGCACATTCCTGCCCATGAGGCTCGAGCACTTCAAGACATGCGTGGCGGTCCCGCCAACTAGACAGACGTACCGAAGCCGCTGATGCCAAACCCCGGACCCAAAAAGACGTTTGCGGGAGAATTGAATGTTTATGTTTCGTTGCATGTTGCCGTTGCAGCAGCCATGAACTGCTGGTGTAGAAATTGCGGGCGTTCAAGCCATGACATGCTGAGGCCCGTCGACGTCCGTACCGGGAAAGGAGAGAGAGGGGCATCAAACCTCCTGCTCAGAAGTGTGGAAAGGAAAAGGAAGATAACAATCACCGGCAGTTATATATACGAAGGCCCAATGTACTATGGCATCCACGCCAATGAAAAGTCTGTCTTGCATAAAGCAAAGATTGATTGAATAGATGCTGGTGAGGGGCCATCAGGGCCGCCCATCTCCCAAGTCGTGTGGGGGTGGGGAGGTTAGAACACAGCTAGAAATATGGACAACTACTTCATACACCCATCAACATCTTTACTGGGGGGTAACATGAATACGATAACATATATCTACTATAATGACAATGAAGAAGTGTCTATAACGATGGAAAAAAAAATTAACATGCATCCCGAATCCTAGTGAGATCAAAGTCACATGGGCCGTTAGCGTGTGTCATTCGGATGGAGCATTGCTTTTATAGCTTTGGCGTCAACTGTCCTCCACTCATTGGCACGCATGCATAGAATAAAGAAATGCAAGGCTTATGAAGTAGTGATCTGTGGGGGCCTTGAAATGGAGGAAGACGATTGGAATTTGTGAGAACGAGAGGTAAACTTTGGCTATAAACCGTACGAGACAACAAAGATCGACATCTTTTTAAATTATTCATTTTTCCAAGCTCATTTACGAAACAGTTTTCCGGACATCGAGGGCCTCTCTTGTCCACGGCAGTTTCGTATCCCGCAGGGTGCAATTTCCTTCCGCCCCATACGAAGCTAATTTCCACACTCCGAACCTTCCTTTTTCTTCCCCCTCAGCTTAATTTTATTTTACAATCTGGCCTTACTCGACTTCTACCCTCCTTCAATTCGATGCATCCGCCCTCCTACCCACGCCGACACTACCCTCCCCCCTCCTCACCATCGACGGTTTCCGGGCGGAGAGAGCGGACGCCGGCAGCGAGAAAGAGGAGAGCAGCGCCGTCACATTCTCTAAAGCCCTTTGCAGCCCCCTGAGCATCAGCTCCTCTTCCTCCATAGGAGGAGAA